TGAATTTGTTTATATTTTGCTATCTGACTGATGGAATTATAATTAAATCAGGGACAGATCATAATAAAATGTTTTATAATTAATCCACAGGAATACTGCATCACTTAATTAGCTAAGCTTCAAGGTTTAAAATAAAAGAAAAACAAACTTTTCATTACAAAGACAATTACAAGAGCGTTCATTAATTATTAAACGACAGAGTTAAAGCATTACATCAACGATTGCTTGATCACTTACTACTGTGGTACAACATGTACCACAGACCCCTAATGCAGAAACAATACTTTGTTGACTTCAGCTTCCACAAAAATAAGGTGGTTTCTTTTTTTCAAGTCACAAATCATGGAAGATTTTAGGAAAACAAAACAATCATTTGGGTCACTGTGGATGTGTGAATTTAAAAGAGGAAAAAAATCAAAATATTATTGAATGCAATGGTTAATTCCTTTTTTTTTTTTTTGGAACAGGAGCACTGGACCAGAAACAGGCCTAAAGCAGAACATTATGACCAGTAATGGAAATCATCACATTTGACTTTATGAGCAACTTCAGTATAAATCACAAAACCTTAATTCAGTTTTGATTCCGTAACGCTTTAAGTTATATGAGAATGTTTTCACTTTTTAGCTTATCAAAAAATGGACAAAGAAAAAGAATTATTCTGATATTTTAAATGTTAGTGATCAACTTGTTAAAACTAAAGAAATAGGATTTTTGTCTGTGCAAATTATGAATGCTGAAACTGAGTTCTTGGAAATAAAATAAGCAGAACAAAAGCGAAAAGGAGCAAAAACACTAGCTAAAGAAGCAGAAAAAACAACAAATGAGCTAAAACCTAAAATTAGCAAAACAACAGCTCAAAGCTAAAAAAAGATAAAAAAGTAACAAAAAGCTCATTTTTAAATTAACTTTGATAGCTAAAAATAGCAACATGCAAGCTAAAACTAAAAGTGGAAAAAYGCTTAATAAAAGTAACAAATGGCAGCTAGAAATTGGTAGCAACATTGGATGTGATTGTGGCAAAACAATAGTGAAATGCTAAAAGTAGCAAAAGGATAGCTAAAGCTAAAAATAACAAAACAYAAACTTAGCAGAATGGTATAGCTAAACTTAGCAAATGGATATTAAATGCTTAAAGCAGCAAAAGGGTAGCAGTTGAAAGTAACATAAAACTCATTATGGAAGCTGAGAGCAGCCCTTTTCCGCCTATAATTTTCATGTTTTTTTGTCATTATCACGAAATTACACGAACTGTTTTCTGGAGTTAATTTCCTGATGTTTTCTCAAGACGAGTTATGGTTTTCTTGTGCATCATTCAGTAACCAAGGACAGGGACCGATCCCCTCAGCTGGTCACCGATAAAGTTTATTAYATCAGAAGGATCACTGTGTAAACGCCTGCTGCTCTGCAGTTGGGCCAGCCATCTCCTTRGATGACGAGGGCTGATACGTGTACAAGACAAAYAAATCACAATTTCAGCCTGTGTAATAATACAAAAATGACAAAAAAAATTATGTACACAAGGTTTGCCTTCAGGCCACCCTTGCAAAAGAGATCTGCGATCTCAATGGAATTTCCCTGGTTAAATAATGGCAAATAAATAAATAAATAAATAAATAAATAAATAAATAAATAAATAAATAAATAAATGACCAGCTGAGGGGACCATCTCCACGGTTAATGAATGACACACAAGAAGAAAACTATCTGGAAATTACATCGATATCACGAGAAAACCATGGAAAATAACTATATGCAGAAAAYGGCWGCTCTCGGCTTCCGTACAAAACATAGCAAAGGATAGTTAAACGTTAAAAGTAGCAAACTGGATAGCTAAAGCTAAAAAATAACAGAATGGTATAGCCACTTAGAAAAAATGCTAACCAAACATTAGTCACAAAAGGCTAGCTCAAAGTTGTAAAAAAATGGTAAAATTAAATCCTACTTGCTGTTTGAGTTGTGCTCCAGCAGAAGGTTTTGGAACATAAACTGTTATCTTGTGGTGCTAATATTTATAACCAACTTTAAATCATCCAGTCAGCTTTTCTTTTTGGTGAGTTGATGCTTTAAAAAAATCTTTGTCATGACATTTTTTTAAACCTTAGAAACAAGATTGGTAAACCAACAACCCTTTCATCAGAGAGCACCATGAAGTCAACTTTAGACTGAGATTTATCCAAATCAGGACCCATCCACACTGTAAACAAACCCRGGCCACATCACATCTTGAATTTCTGTAGTATTCTCCAGCTGCATTACTATGACCATGACTCATACAGCCTGCATGTGTAATGTCATCCTGATATGAAGAGAATTCACTTTTTTTATTGATCATCCATGCCATTAGTGATTTGTCATTATCTTATAATCCATGTGAAAACACTTTAATGGGCTCTCTGTGAGAGAAAGGCCTCRGTCTTTAAACAAACCAAAGAAGAGGAGGAAACGTTGCAGAGGTGTGGTGAGGGAGACGCTCCACAGGAAGCACCTGTTAGCTGCAACACTGACAGCAATAAGAACACAAGGATGTGATGACAGAGCAGTGTGTGTTGCACATGCACGAGCGTTTCACATACTTTTTATTGGGTTGAAATGTCCAGATGAGCAGCAGCAACTCAGTTAGTTGATTCCATCAGCTCTTCCATAAGATCCCAGACAGGAAGGGGGAAAAAAAAGAACAGATACTCGGTGTGCCACAGTCCAGTTAAAATCCAGGTTTGGGCATCACAAAAGCTGGACTCTCCTCGGGGTGCGGCGCTCTCTCATCATCCCGCATCCAGCTCAGCAGCCCCGGAGATCAGGATCCTGCCCGGATCGTCCCTCCCTCCCCTTCAAACTATGACTGCATCCCAGAGATCCGTCAGAGGAGCAGGATGACTGTCACGGTTCTCCCACCTCGGGTCTGGGCTGAATAATCCGCTTATAAAATAAAAAAATAAAAAATAAAAATGCCGACCACTCCGAGCTCCCAAACATCCTCAAGCCCCTTTCAGTCCATCATCTCCCGCAGCTGCCCTCGTCGCGAGTCAAACCCACCAGCATCTCCTCCGCATCCCCCCGGCTGAAGGTGTAAACCCCTGTTACCCGGTGAGCGCGTCTGTGCGGTGTTGATGATGATGATGATGATGATGATGATGCGCGCACACTGCTCTGGGATGCAGGGCGTTGCTGGCAGGATGCTACAGGAAGAAAAGAAGGGTTTGGGTTTGAGAGCTTGGATCCTCCATCCAGACATCAGGAAAATAATAAAGGACAAACATCAACTAATGGTCTTTTTCCCCTCATCCAAGGGTAATTTTAATGACCTGGAGGTGGTTTAATGATTTAAACTGTTATATTAGCCTGGGTAATAATCATTTTAAGGACCCCATGTGTTTGTTGAGCCAAAATAATTGAATTAAAGCACATCTCTGCGGTTATTATTCCAGTTTGTAAAGGATCAACTTGTCTGCTTTCAGTGGGAGTAATGATGAGGATGAGGATGAGGAT